GGCGAGCATGTCGGCCAAAACGTCGGATTATGAAGTTCACGGGAATCCAGGTGCGCGACAAGATCGCGACGAAGGTTGACGCCCGTGGCCTAATTTCCGTCCTGCACTCGGCCTCGTATAGATTTAATCGTCCGTATATTCACCGACGCGTGGAGCCTCTTGACGTGTATAACACGGCGTGAAAGTAAGACGCGGAGGTAACGCGGGGCGAGCAGGGCTGCGTATTGTGTTCTTTCAATAACCAGATGTTGAAATTTCAGATACAGCGCGCGTTTTCCCTTGTGCACCGTATAACCGTAAAGAATCGCGCGACGTGTGCTATCTATTTTGGAGAATGAGGATTTTGCGAGAGATAGTCAAGTGGGTCAGAGCGGATCTCGATGTCTTATTAGGTAACTACAGACGGGCGTAGCTGAATCTCGACTGTTCTCCGACGACGTCTCGCGCAAAGTTGCGCTTCTTACGAAAATGAGGAAAATTTGTGCGGGTAAAAAGAGATTCGTCTTTCCTTCTTCTCTATTTTCCGTTCGACGCTCGAAGCACGATTCGAACGATTCGATGGTACAAAGTGGTCGTCGATAGTTTCCAGCGCGGCTTTCTCGCAATGTGGTGTTTGTTACAATGCAGTATCTTGGCGGAGATCATAAGCAGGTCAGCCTGTGGCATAAAAACCGAGGGAAAGAAATATTGCGATACCCGATATCTCTATTCTTTAATATTCAAGTTGCGGAATAACATTAGCCTTGTTTCTCCTTTCGAGGTGTTGAATGGTCTTGAGATAAAGGTGTGTTAAAATCCGTATCGCGGAAACGGGAACGTACGAACGGGGCTTTTTTTCTTTTTTTTTTTTTACGATGTGAAAGCAGCAGTGTAACGTATTAGCAGATGTGAGATGATGGCGATAAAACGCCGGCCGCCAATGCGAACCGCCAAGATGGATGGAATAATTCGATAACATGAGTAATCCCCCCCCGTTATCGAGTCATTTCACCGACCTCGCTGACAGTGAATGAGGCATGCCATTTGTCATTGTCATTGTCATTGATCAACAAGCCGCAGACGGAAGAATTCTGCCTCGCCTTACTTTGCGAACCTTCCATTTTATATCGCTGCGAAGTTATGATCGATATTTAAATTTGCTTTACGCGCGCGTGTGTGTGTATGTACGAAGAAATGCCGCATTTTCCGTGAAAAAGAAAGGTGAGCGATAGAAAATGTACTAAATGTACTCGTTTGTTACCTTTATCAATTATTGTGTTAAATCCCAAAGCGATGGGAAAAATGATAAAAACTACAGCGGGCGACGTGATTATGAAGTTATTATATTATATATCGAGGTTGGGATAAAATAAAATGCAACTTTCTGCGCGTAATGAGATCGAATGATTCCAGTAAGAATCCTGTTTGCATCTATGGAACACACACAAATGTAACTTTTCCGCACAGAGAAGAGAAACGCGAGAGAAAGAGAGGGAGGGGCTGATCAAAGGATGTGGTGATTGAAGAGCGAGCGCAGAAACGTACGGTAATCAACATATCTCTCTTTTAGTTTACGGAACCTGCAGCCTCTAATAAGAGACACACGCGTGCATTGTAATAACTTATCATAGAGTCAACTTTCGCGTGACTAGTTTCATCTATTTTGTTTTACGTTACACTCATCATAGAAGAGAAGCGTATGAAAGCAATTTCCTCGACACTTTACACGTCACGTGAATGGCTTCGCGCTGTGACTCTGTTTCAAGAGTTTCAAGTTTTCATCGTTATTTAAAAATCGATACGCACACTTCAGATAGTATATGTGAACATTTCAATCGAGAATTGACAGACGACAGACACGTCACACGCCTCGCATCATTATCCTTAATTGGTCATTCGATCGCGTCGCGTCGAAAAATCTCTCTCTATGATTGATAAATTTCAACGTATAAATGGCAGAGCAACGGAGACGACGAAAGTTTCAGTAGAAAAGGTAAAAGCGGTATAGTAATGATGATACAAATATAATACAAGTGATAAAGGCAGTTGGCTTGCGTCGATTCATGCGTTTAGATGGTTGGATAAAAGGCTATGTTTTTTTCGAGAGTAGCAGTAGGGGCAGTGATGGGCAATCTCGAATTGATTTTTCTCCTTCAAAGATCGATTCCTTTTGCTCGATTTTTGCTGTATGAATCGTATTATTTCAGTAGCGAATCTTCAATCCTCTGATATAGCTTATTTATCAATGTTGTTTCGTTTAACGAAAAATTCATATTGGGGTTAACATTTGATATGATTAGAATATTATTTTAGGTGTGTATTTCAGAGGATTACATAAGTGATGATAAATTTGGCTATAAGCAAAAGTTACTGTCAAGAATCTAGAATTTCATCCAATGCAAATCTTCGTTACTGCTTCAACTGAAGACTGATATTTCATTTATGACTTCTCCACACAAAACGCGGAAACGCTTTGATTATTAGTAATTATTTTATGCTCCAAACGCAGTTGAATGCATAAGCAGATTATGTGAGAAACTTGGCTTTATATTATGGTTACTGCAAACATACGTGACTTTCCAGCTATCCCGATTTAAGGTCGACTGAAAAATCGATATTTTCTAAAAGATCGCTCATCACTAATTAGTAGTGGTAATCGTAGGAAGTCGATGTGCCGTTCCGTTCGATTGACTAACAAACGACGCGAAACATTAAGCCACTCAAACGGTTAAATTCGATAATTCAGCGATGCCTTCGGTGAATATGGCCAATTTGCACCTCACGACGATGGCGTTGTCTCGCTCGGAATACTTTCGACGATCATTTCCAGCCGACGTCGCTCGAGCATTCGACGAGACCGCGCACGTATTCGGTATAAACCGCGGCGAGTGTTACATTTTATAACACGACAAACGCATCACGTTGCGGTGCTCCATCGTGAGTCTCCTCGTATTAAGAATTTCATCTCGGCGCTCTCCTCCGACTATCCTTTTTGTAAGCTTAAGAGAGGCGGATGTACCGGGGGGAGCGATTCTGCGTTATATAAAGAAACGCGACCTGCAAGATATATATCGCTCGTGCAATTACAGTTGTTACGTATTGTGCCGCACCGTTTTGTACATCTTCCGGCCTTTTTCGGGCAGAGAAAGACGTAGTAATAAAAGGAAGCATTAAAGGAACAGAACAGAGAAGGGCGTTCAACGAGGCGCGAGAGCCCCGAAAGGGAAAAAGAACGAAGGAACCGTGTCGCATTTTCCCGGCGACTTTGCGATTATTGTTTAGGCCTCGCAGCACACCAAATCGAATAGGTCGCCGCTCGTCGTCCTCGAAGACCCACTCGCGACTCTTTGTGCGTCCTTCTTCCTTGACTCATCCACCCGCTTTATGTAGAGCCCTTCGAATTAGAGCCTGGACATCTCTCGGTTCTCTCACTAACTGCTTTAGTTCCTTTTTCGATCAAACATAGCGGATTATCATATAAAAAGATTCTATCTGGAGAAAGAGAGAACAAATCGTCATTGCGAGATAGAGGGTGAATATAAAATCAATTTTTAAGAAATAAAGAATCTATTTTTATAAGTGATATTATATATAAGTTCAAACAAAATGATATTTGATGTTAAATTATGTTGCTTATATTAGAGGAACCCAAGTATCAAAACGCTAATTCCAAGAACAACTTTTTCCGCATGTAAAATCATCCTAAGTTCATCTTGAAATGCTCTATAGCCAGCGAAACGATCCGTTCAGCATCGAAGACGAATCTGGAACGATCTTAAGTAAAAAAAAACGGACAATGACACTGGCCTTAGCCTATACTAGCACATCTCAAGTGTAGTTCGTCGTAACATGTCCAGACTCTAACTTGAGGGCCTTTTCAGCTTTACTCGTAACGGAGCGACGTTTATTTTGGCACGGCGCACTATTAAGACAGTCTATTAATTGTCCATGGCTCGGCACGGACTCACCGCCCGGTCGCTCGTTAATTCGCTCGCTAATGGAGCGTAAATAGTCGTAAGAGCGCCAGACCTAACGAGTACATCCCTGCCTGCCTACCTACGTGTACAATAATTGTTACATCTTATCGAAAGAGAGAAAGAGGGAGAGAGGGAGAAAGGGAAAACGCGAATCGAGGCAACTGCGTGCGTGCTCGACGCCGTTTGTCCGAAAACGCGTGGATAAGCAATCACGAAATCTCTCACAGAGGAACTTCCCACCGCGCGAGAGGAGCGTTCATAGATCAATGTCCGAGCGGATATCGACCTCCCCGAACTCTTTCAGCGACCACGGCTCTCCGTGTTTTCGGAAGTCCGCCAAAATGAAGTGGTCATCGATCACCACTGTGACCTTTCATGTTCGGCCCGGCGATACGTTTGAGTCTGCCCCGGATGAAGAATTAGAGTTCATCTTCTCCCCGGTATTCTCTCATCTATCGTGGAAGAGCAGCATCTTGACTGGACCGTCACCGATCGTTGCGCGTGGAATTCAGTATCCGGCATCCTCGGCCGGGCTCTTCGTCGTCGCGTAGACGCGCCACTGTGAACCGTCGGACGTAGCGTCGCGGTGGGAATCGCGAAAATACTTCAGGGCCGCGTCGGTCCCGGTCATCGTCGCTGGACATTCCCTCGCGTCGATCGGTAAAAATATTCCCGGACCACCGTGCCTCGGTGAAGAGACTTCCGGTCGCTCGACCGTCGCTCCGACTAATCCGCGCGAAACACGGTGGATTTTCTCTCGTGTGCCCGGTCCATGTCAATGACGGCGTGACGTCGACACGAGACGTTCTACCCGCGGCCGTCCTATGACCTCGCCATGAAACCGTTCTTCGACCATGGACCCACGGACAGCGTTTCGAACGCGTCCTCGGGAGGGTAGCTCTCCAGCCATCTTAATCCAGACCTTTGGCTTCGTTGTGGCGACCGCGGTAATCAAGGATAGCGCGGCTATCGTCGTGATCGCAGGGCCCAGCTGGCAGCCCCGGCAATTCGGTCGTTCCCGCGATTCAGGGAGGGAAAGAGAACGGCTCGACCAGCGGAGGTAAGTATGGGGGAGGTCTTTAAACCTGCGTCAACAGAGTCAACTGGGCGCCGTTCTTGATCAGATCCTTATCCCGCTGCGCCGGGTCCCTGGGCTCGCTGCTGACCGTGATGTTGGATCGCGACGTCATGGTCACGGTGGTGGTGGAGGTCTTGCTGATGAGCAGCCCTCTCTCCGCGTCCTCGTCCTCGAGCTCCAGCCTGGACTGGCCGGACGTGACGATCCGGCTCGGCTGCAGCCTGTCGACGTTGCCCGCCTTGTTCCTGCGCGGGAACACGCTGTTCTCGATGTGCAGCGCCGCGTTCACGTCCTTACCGGCGGCGCAGGTGCACGCCTTGAGGAAGCTCTTCTTGAAGTTGTCGCTGAGGAAGGCGTAGAGAATCGGATTCATCGCGCTGTTGCTGTAACTTAGGAAGCCGGCCAGCAGGAAGCTGGTGATGCTGATGCTGCTCTGGCATTGCTTGGGCGGTGTGTAGATCAGCGCTACCTGGGTGACCCAGTAGGGCAGCCAACAGAACACGTAGACGGTGATGACCGTCAGCACCAGCTTGGTGACTTTCCGGTGCGAGCGTTTCTTCTCCTTCGACTTGTTCTTCGGCCCGACCGTCCGTAGCTTCCTGATCACCAGGAAGTAGAAGTTCAGTATGAGTATCAGCGGCACGGCGAAGCCGAGGATGAAGGTGTAGAGGATGAAGGTGGTCTGGCCGCCGTGATTGTCCGGCCAGTAAATGTTACAGCTGACCACGCCCTCCAGGGACTCCATCGCGTTCGCGTAGAGGAACACGGGCACCATGAAGAGCGCGCTGGTCGCCCAGGCGCTCAGGGACACCACTCTGGAGATGAAGGGCGTGCGTATCTTCGGCGACGAGATCGGGTGGCACACCGCGACGTAACGGTCGGCGCTCATGATGAAGAGGAAGATGCTGCTGGTGAACTGGTTGATGCTCGTCGTGATCATGTACACCTTGCACATGATCTTGCCGAAGATCCAGCTGCGCAGGCTGATGGTCGTCACCAGGAACGGTATGCCGATCAGGAAGCACTCGTCCGCGATCGCGAGGTTCACGATGTACATATTCGTCACCGTCTGCATCTTCGAGAAGCGCAGCACCACGTAGATGACCAGGGTGTTGCCGAGCAGGCCGACCACGCAGACGATGGAGTAGAGCACCTGATTGACCAGCGCGATGATCGGCAGGTTGGCCTCGCAGTTCGGCGATATCATCGAGTGGTTGTGCGTGAGGTTTTCGAAGAGATCGATCATATCCATCGTTGCGTTCATCATCGTGCGGCGGCGATTCTACGCGCGAGTCTTCGCGGGGAACGACGAGTGTCTCTCGCTCCCCGGTGCGAGCGATGATGAGAACCGCTCCGATGAGCGCGCACACAGCAGCACACACGCACACACACATACGCGCGCGCGCGCAATTCGAGTCTTCGAAGTAACTTTTCCGCCTTCCCTCGAGCCTTTATACGAAATAATCCAATTAACCGTAGTGTCGGCTTCGTGTTCTATTAGAGACGGGATTACAAGTATCTTCTTCGTATTCTCGCGGGGAATAACGTAGACACCGACGTAACTAAAGTTTGTTCCGTTGACGGGGGTAACATACGTGACGCTGACGTCATTCTGCCAATCGCCCGTCGCGTGCACAGTCCGAAGATCATTAGATCCGTGCGAACCGCCGGCGAGCTCCCCCTCCCCTCCCCCCTGCTCCTCCGCCACGCTTGTTTTACCGGCGGGGTCGTTCGTCAACTTCGGGAGCGGAATCTGAAACACGGAGAAACAACGGGAAAGTTGGCAAAAATACGCTCTGCATGCGGGGACCGATATCGCCGAGAGAGGAATACGCAACGCGGCGGGGAATATCGCGAGTTCGGCAAGTTTTATCATAACCGCGAGTTTCCCATTCATTTGCAGATCAAATCGCCGTACCGCTCGGAACGGGAACGAATGTTCATCGTTACGCCCCTCGAGTCAATGCGGACTCGATCGGAAACAACGATTTTTCGCTGCGGAACTACGTCGAGATATTGGGTCCGCGAAAATCTGGGCTGTACGCTGGAAGAAAAAGTGCTATATTCAAGTAAACCGTTGCTAAGGAATATTGCAGTAATTATTTTACTTTAGGTATTTGCAGCGGGAAATGAGCTTTTTTCAGAATCCGTTGAAACTTGCATTAAATACAGATTTAAATATGGTTGTAGTTATTGGCGTAATTAGAAAATTGACTATGTGGAGACTGACAAATTCGCAACTAAAAACGACACTTTTTATACGCACTCCTTGAGGTTAATATTCGATCTTTAATTTCGATTTTTAATTTCTCCCAAACCACATTCAGGATTTTAATAGAAAACTATTATTCGATTTATATATCACTCTCTATTGTATTTTTCTATTATTACGTGTATATATTTTCCTTAATTTCGTTCGAAATGAACTTTTATTACTTTCATAGTTAAATAAAGTTATAGGAAAGTATTTTTTAATAAATAATAAACTTATGTAAGAGCCTTTTAAAATATCGCCACGGAAAATCCGGCACTCCACGATACAACTAATTTAAATAAATATTACATGAATATAGCAAATTGAAAGCGAAAAAATACTACATTCAAGTAATTACTTAATCTAAGTAAAATAATCAATACTCCATAACAAATATTTACTTGAATGTAGCATTTTTTTCTTCCCGTGTGCGAATTCATCCGGCGAAAATATCCCGGTTATATTTTTACCGTATCAAGCACAGCGTTGAATAACGACACCGGTTTGAATTCCCTAACTCGCTGTCGCAAATTTTGCTCTTGTCCGTCGCGGGAAAAGCTCGAAACTGATATTCAAGCCGCGTGTAGGAGTTAATTTCACATTTATGTCCGATCTCGGACGTAATTTCCGCAATCGGAAGCGAGTGATTCGAAACGGTGCACATCACACGGTACCATTTCGTCGCTCTATGGGGAATGCAACGGTACTGCTGCGGCTGCGATGTATAGCAGTACCGCTGCCGGCGACGTGATAATTTTCCCGGCACCGCTGCAGGTGGAAATAATCTTGCTTGTGGGAGCCGTCGCGTATTCCGACAATGGCTTGGGAATTTTGTTGACGGGTCAAGAGTAGCACTGAGAAATGAGAGACCGTGAGTGAGAGAGAAAGAGAGAGAGAGGGAGGGGAGGGAGAGGGAAAGAGAGGAGAAAGGGAGATTGGAAGGTACCTTTGTGTCGTGTCTCGTGTTGACCTGCGAAAGCCCCAACTCGAAAGCTGCAGCCGGTGCAAGGTTTCTGGCGAACCGCAAGCTTCTCTTCATATACAGGGTGAGAGATACGGCGGTAAGCCGGACAAACGGTTCTCGAGTTCGGCGAGACTTGGCGCTCGACAGATACAGATAGAGTACGGGGCGTTGGGACATGAAACGATGAGAGCTCAACGGGTGATAAACGCTTCCTGTTTACCGGGGCAATAATGAAGTGTTGTCCGCAGAACGAAAGGATCAACACGTGTTACGGACGACCGAGGCTAGTTACCGGCTCGGTTAGCGCCTCGGGGTGAAATTAGACGGACACCCGCACGTATTGTTCGCTCGAGGTGCTCATGTGTGCTTTTTGACAAGCACAGAGAATAATCCGTAGCGGTATTAGCATCGTTCAGCTATCTGTCGGATCTTCGCGTCGTTCGTTCGCGTGAATTCATTCGGGATTCATTTAAATAGACGAGAATTTGGACGAAAAAAAAAAAAAGTATCGTCGGCAGGAGCCGCCAATTTGAGCGAAATTTCCCGATTCACATGCGGGATCACGTTTCGTAGACGCGATATTTAATTCAACAGATGTTACATATTTAACTTGAAAGCTTCAATATTTAACATGGAAGTTTGCCATAAGCGTAACTCTCATAATACAACGCGAGGGAGGGGGTGGGGGGGGGTGGAAGAAAAGGAGATACGTTGAATTGTGCCATTAATTCTCTTTTAAGTTTCAGTGGGATATTACTTAATTTATGTCGCCGTTAAACTGTCGGGCGAGTTCCCTGCGAATCGCTCGCTTGGGAAGGAGAAAGAGCAAGCCTCCGAATCGTCCCTAATGGCGCCCGTCCGAAGTAACTCTCGTGTGAGACGAAAGTTTCCCGTATCGTACAAACAGCATGTAAACTCTCACGCAAATAGGATATTTTATTTTGAAAGTGGAGCATGCACGTGCGCGGGCGCGGCATAGCGATCGGAGGAAAACTCCGCGGCGCGATTCGTCCGATTCGACGCGTATAAATCCGAACTACTCTCCCCGAGAGCGGCTACGCTACGTGGACAACCGATGTTTATGAGTCCGCGAAACTCTCGAATGTTCCCGTTACCGCGGCTCGACGGCACCGATCCGCCATGAAAACATTATTTCCCGATCGAATAAAACGTCCTCCCACGATCATCCACCCTTGGCGAGACGGCAAAGTGCAGCTGATCGCAACGGGCGTAATAACTCGTCTGCACACAGATCGCAGTGAAATCCCTTCTTCAACGCGGAGCAACGAATACGAGAAAAGAAAGGCGGGCGACCAAACGGAAGCTCGCTGCATCGAAAGAACGGTCTCGACTCTTTTTTGCACTCTAATGAGTCTCGATCGATGCGCCATTAAGCGGCATTAGCATGTGTATCGGGCAAAGTGCTTCCACGCTGTTCTTTCCCGTGCGGGCAGACGTTCGCTGGGATTTCCTTCGTTTTTCAGCAGCATCCCAGTTTCGTTCCATTAGCGTGAAGAGCTCGAATTCTTTCGGGGAAATAGGAGGAGGACTTCCCTTCGTTCTGCGACGCACGGCGTCCGGATCGTCAAGAATGCAAACGCGTTTGCCGACACGTGTCACTTTCATCCGAACGACCGTCGATACGCGGTTAATCGAACGGCCCTGTGTGTGTTCTGTTTATGTGACTCTCCAAATAGTTAAACATCATTAAATTAGTGAAATTTATCCTGCAATAAATTACCATTTAATATGAAATTAATTAACGTTATGCGACGCAATACGACGGGAGGTTATTTTTTCCCACCGCGTGTACGCGTTATTTATACCCATGTTTACACAAACTTAATAATTAAATTTATTTACATGAAATATATGATGTATGACCTACATCGCGCAGCGCACCCAATACGAGACGTATTGCCAATTGCATTCCTGTTTTGCCGGGCGTAATCCGTAGCGCGCTCGCCTCATCAGAAATTCGAGAATTCAATAATAAAGAGTTATCAGCGCAAAGCTCGCACGTGCAACCTGTAACGCATCCTTGCACACACGCACACGCACACACACACATGCGCACATTATTGAGTCGACATGAATTTGACAGGAGCGTAATATACTGTTAGATACAACGTCCAACTTTGATCGTTTCCATCAACGGGATCAAATCAATTACGGATGAATAAATAGCCCAAATTATCTCTTTCGATAATTCAACTTACGTGAGACGCAAAGCGGCCCCGGATTCTCCTCGTTTCATAAAAGCACGCTTGATACATGGTTCGTGCAAAATAATCGCATCGTTCATTCATGTAAATTTATTGTCAAAATAATTTCGCGAAGATAAACCGTTGAAGTTTCTGCGCGATAGAATTTTGCGCGCATTACTTTCCGTTAGTGGAAATTCCGTCAAGTTTTCGTTGAGAAAAAAGGGCGAGAGAAAGAGAGAGAGAGAGAGAGAGAGAGAGAGAGAGACAGGGAAGGAGAGGGAGCAAAGAATATCTCGCGCCTTGAGTAAAGTGAGCGTGAAAGCAATCAAAGCTCCTATACGATTGTAATGGTAATCTGCATATTTGTGAGGAGTTCGCGAAACGCATTTGCTTTTCAGATATTGGGAGATTGCGAAATTTGTCTTCTTCCAATTTTCCGTGCGGATCGACAAGTCGGTGTCTCGGGCGGCACCGAAAATGGAATCCGGGGAACATCCGGTTAATGCAGTCATCGCGCGGGCGATGAATATTTCATGCATGTGACCGCCGTCCGGTGCGCATTATTAAGAATGCAGATATCTCCATGAAATCTCGTTTTATTGACTCGCGGCGGCACAATGGAGCCCGAGAGCGGATAACTTTTTAATTTGAATCTCGAATTTCGATTAAAGTTTCCTTAATCACGGCGCTCTGCCCCGCTTTTTTCATAATAGAAAAAACTTGCGCACACACACCGGCGATCGAAGATGGGAACGGGAACAGCGCTGATTGATTTTCTCTTTCTTTTTTTCAGGTCTCCGGCCGATAATGAAACGGGAGTATTTGTGTGTTACACATTGTTTACGGGCGATTTTTGTCAATCGCATTTCAGTCACGCGCATAACTTTGTCTCTTTAAAAAGTGTATCGTTAATTTTCACCCGCCGACGATATTCTCGAAAATTGAACGATGTGAATTTTTAATCTCAAACATCGACGAACGCGCGGGAGAGGTGGAATTTCGGCCGAGAGAAATTACGGTCTTTGTAAATTACGAGCGGAAGCGATGCTGACACTCATAATTAATTTTTTTCAAGAAATACCTACATTCACCCGAGATCGCTTATATACTGAAAACAAGAATTTGGCACCAATTACCAAACATTTAGTGAAATAGTCCATATAATTTGGTTACTGTAATCGAATCATTTAGTTGAAACTATTTCACGAAATATTTAGTGGATGTTACCAAATTCTTTTTCAGTGTAGACTAAATCTCAGTATATTATTTTGTTCTACTTGATAAGAGTCGGGCCGAGAATTGTAAACGAAAGAGAATACCGAGGTCGC